AACTCAGGAGGTTCTAGAATATGCTAACTCCATCAACATACACTGATCACTAATTCTATGATATCTGCACTGGCTCAGCCACAGTTATCAGATGATGGCAGTCATATACTCAGAGAAGTTCCATATAGTGAAATGACCAGTGCATAATGGCCCACTGGAAATCCATATCTCTGAAACAAAGACACCTTTAAGTGAAAAGTGAAGATATCAAATATGAAAAACAGGGAGAGACAGTTGTTGATCCTCGGGACCTCTAGAGGCTAATCGTACAGAAGGGTATCATTCAAGGCAAGCAGAAATAGAAAGCTCTGCTGGTTTAGAAGAAGGCTCAGACAAAACAGAATATAGAAAACCTGCACCTTCCTAGCCCACTGCCTTCATCAGTTTAATTGAGAGATGACCACCAAGGTACAAACCATTGTGTCATGAGGTGGAAGGCATCCAATTTTCTACTTCCACCAACTATTGGTACCTAAATCTGTTTTCAAAGCGAGGGTATTAATGCAAACAGAACCCAAGAAATTTGAATGTTGTTAGCTCTTTACCACATCCCCAAGATTAGCACCTATTCTTAGCTATTTCAAAATGATTTACATCCAAAAACTTGTGGAAAAGCAAAAACAAAACAGGCTAGAGTTAACTAGTAGGTGAGGTTGTTGAGTTGCTTGCTGAGCTGGTTGCTTATCATACAGACGCTTTGTCACCATCTTGGGTAACATCATCAGTGTGGCCTCCGATGAAGCGATGTTATTCTACTCTGCTTGGTATTTATATGATCCGGTCTGTTAAGTTGGATTATATCGTTTCCAGTTTGTTCTGCATGTGTTTGTGTATGGGGTCTAATTCCACATGTTTGTTAATTGCATTATGGGTTGAAAACCAGGCCTCGAGGAATTTCCGTGCCTGTCTGCGGTTGGCTTGAGTTAGGATGGTCACGTTGTCCCAGTTAAATTGATGGCCTTCATTGTCCGAGTGCATTGAAATGAGGGAAAGTTTGTTGTATTGTTTTGCTGCTAGCTGGTGTTCATGTATCCTGATGGTTAGTTTCCTCCTGGCCTGGCTGATATAATGTTTGTTACAGTCGTTGCAAGGTATTTTGTAAACTACCTTGGTACTGCATGTCATGGGTATGGGGTCTTTGGTCCTTGTGACTGTTTGCCGTAGTGTGGCTATGGGTTTGTGCGCTGCCATGATTCCTAGTGGTCGTAGGAGCCTTGTTGTCAGTTCTGATATGTTCTTGATATAGGGTAGTGTGGCTAATGTATTGGGACATACTGTGTCCTCTTGGCGTTATCTATCTAGTAGGCGCTTGCAGATGAAGTTGTTGGGACATCCGTTGTTAGCTAAAACCTTGTATATATGCTTTTCCTCCTTGCTACGTAGTTCTGGCATATTGCACTGAGTTGTGGCCCATTTGAATAGTGTCCTAACAAAGCTTTGTTTGTGGACATTACGGTGATTGCTCTGGAAATTGAGGATTTGGTCAGTGTGGGTTGCCTTCCTGTATACTGTGGTTTGGGACTCCCTGTTAGTCATTCGTTCTACCCTTGTCTAGAAACGGAAGTTGATTGTTCTCTTCTTCTTCTCTCGTAAATTTGATACCGGTGAAAACGTTGTTGATGAGATGGTGTGTTTCTTCTAACTTGGTGCATTCAATGATGACAACCATGTCACCCATGTATCAGATCTACAGTTTTGGCTGTATGAGGGGGAGGGTAGTGTGTTCCAGTCTTTGCATGACTGCCTCTGCAATAAATCCTGAGATGGGTGACCCCATTGGTGTCACAATGATTTGTTTGTATATTTGGCCATTAAAAATGAAGTGTGTGGTGAGGCATCACTGCACTTGGACAATGAAGGCCATCAATTTAACCATCCTAGCTCAAGCCAACCACAACCAGATATAACACAACCCAACTTAACAGACTAGATCATACAAATACCAGGTGGAGTAAACAACATCGCTTCATTGGAGACCACACTGATGATGTTACCTAGCACGGTGACGAAATGGCTGTACGATAACCATCGAGCTCAGCGAGCAAGCCAACAACCTCATCCACATCCCGAGTTACAAATCTTCGCAAGAACCTTAACTAATAGATATTGGGTAAAGTTAGAAATCGGAATCTTCTATCACGTCCTTTTGCAACTAAAAGATAGCACCTATGAGGAAATCTAAACGTATACATAAACACAATAATCAATGGTGGGGCACATCTTAAAAGTAGAAAATGACCGAACTGAAAAGTTGTCCACAACTTGAGGTTGGTTGGCTCGCCGAGCTGGTTTCTTGTTTCGCAGATGTTTCGTTACCATGCTGGGTAACATCCTCAGTGCAGCCTCCGATGAAGCGTCGATATGTTTTCCTGCCTGGTTTTTGAACTCTGGGGTCCGTTGAGATGGATTGCCTCACTTCCGGTTTTCGTTCGTAGCGGAATGTATGTGGGGTCGAGTTCAATATGTTTATTAATAGTATGCTTCATGGAGTGCCAGGCTTCTAGAAATTCTCGTGCCTGTCTCTGCCTAGCTTGTACCAGGATTTTGGTGTTGTCCCAGTCGAAATGGTCGTTCTCCTTGTCCATGTGGATTGAGATCAGTGAGTATTGGTCGTGTCTTTTTGTAGCCAGTTGGTGTTCATGTACTCTTGTTGTTAGTTTCCTTCCTATTTGTCCGATGTAGTGTTTCTCACAGTCTCTGCAGGGGATCTTGTAGATGACATTGGTCCTGTCCATGGTGGGGAGGGGGTCTTTAGTTCGGGTGAGCAGTTGTCGTAGGGTTAACGTGGGCTTGTGTGCCACTCTGATGCCCAGCGGTCGTAGGAGTCTTGTGGTGAGTTCCGATGTGCTCCTGATGTAGGGTAGTGTGATAAGTGTGTCGGGGCATGTAGTATCTTTCTGATGTTGTTCGTGTAGGCATCTTCTGACCCAGTTTTTTGGATATTCCTGTGGAAGAGGTATTCTTCTTCCTCTTGGCGTAGTTCTGTGTTGCTGCAGTGTGTTGTTGCCCTTTTAAATAGTGTTCGCACGCAGCTTTGTTTGTGTGTGCTGGGACGGTTACTGTTGAAGTTCAGTATCTGGTCTGTGTGTGTGGCTTTTCGGTGTACTTTCATTTGCAGTTCCCCATTTGTCTTGCGCTCTTCCATGACGTCCGGGTATGGGAGCTGTTTGTTCTTCTCCTCCTCTCTGGTGAATTTTATTCCGGTGAGGGTGTTGTTTATAAGTTTGTGTGTCTCCTCTAATTTGGTCCGTTTAATGATGACAATGGTGTTGTCTACGTAGCGTATGCATAGTTTTGGTTGGATTTGCAGGAGGGCCATCCTTTCTAGTCTTTGCATCACTGCTTTTGCTATGAGTCCGGAGAGAGGTGATCCCATGGGTGTCCCGTTAATTTGCTCATATGTTTGGCTGTTGAAAGTGAAGTGGGTGGTGAGGCATAGGTCCAGTAGTTTGAGCATGTTGTCCTTGAAGATGGTTTCACTGGGGTCTTGCTCTTGTTCCAGTAGTGTTGTCATTGTTTCCCTTGCTAGTGGTATGTCTATTGATGTAAATAGGGCAGTGTTTGATGTCAGTTCAAATGCATACACAGAACTGGAGGCATTCTTCAGTACTTGCCAGTCAGGTTGGTCCACAAAAATTATGATGTACCATGGTCTGCCCAAAAGCATCACAGCATAAGCTAAAGTTGCAAGAGAAACAAGGTGCTGAGCATGTATCATCTGTGGATGAATCCAATGAAAAGCAGGAAGACAGCAAATACAAAGTAGCACTTGCTACACTGCCACTAAATGTAACATTTAATTCAAAGGCTACTCACTCATACCCCACTACCATAGACAAAAATGGTCCTGTGCTCAACCATTCCCCTTTGCTTCCTGTTATGCCTTCCCATTCATTAATAAGCCACAGAAAAAAGTGAATAGGCACTTAGCTTCTGCGAATGGAAAAACAATTTACAGGATTCCAGTAACGTGTTGACATAATAGTTTCTCAAACATGCTTATGGGTGCCCATAATGAACGACACTTCTATAGGGTGTAATCCAGTGACTCTAATAAAAGTAAAGACAGGCTGCTCAGATTGCTGAAATGCTGTTGGCTGATGACCTCTGTCAGAAACAGTGAAGGTCCTGATAATGCCTACTTAACTTTCAGCTGTGCAGGGGCAGACTCCAGCCATTGGCAGCAGACGCAATATGTTGGATATGGCTGGATGGGTCAGGGTTAGGTGATGCAGAAGATACCTCTCATGTTCCTAATGCATTTCACTCTTATTTTCATCTGGACTGTTAGATAGCAACTTTGAAAGAAGTTTTATGAGGCCAAGGTTTATGGCTTGCCATAAACAACATTAAACAACATAAACACAACAACATTAGTAACACTTTTACAAATGCATTTCCTGCTCTTTGAATTGGAATTTCCTGAAGGTGTGTTTTACTGTGTTGGAAGGGTTGTAAAATCTTTCACCTTTGAAGAGAATTTTGTTTTTAACTTAAGCAATAAATGCCATTTAGAAGAACATTTTTCTGAAATTTTCACTTGTTGGCAGAGAATCAGAACATGAGAAATTCCACATAAATGCCCAAATGCAGGCATTTCTGCAAGGGCAGATTGCATTTAATCAAGAAGTCTAATCAGTAGACCCTGGGCGAGTTATATGGGCATATCCATGGAGATGTTTTTTGCTAACACTGCACCGAGGAACTGGATTACTTTTTTGGAAAGGCAAAGTAACATTTGGCTTAGAATCAAACTTACATATGCACTAAACAAATTACTTTCATGTTACTAAGGCAGTTTGAAAAATATCTAATTTTATTTTGAAATTGAAATTGTTATACATTTAAATCATTTCTATTATAGTAGTAAGAAACAACTAACAAGTTAGCACTGAATGTAGAGAAGCTGATAAATTACTTAAGCAATTTATTCATTACTAAATTTTTGAATGACTCACAAAAAAAGCACATTTTAAAACTTAAATTAAGCATTTCATTAAAGCTTTTACTATGATGATGCTTTTTTTAAATAAGCAATAAGGTCAGCACGTTCACTTTTCTTCTTGATTCCAGCAAACAGCATTTTTGTTCCAGGAATGTATTTTTTGGGGTTCTCCAAATATTCCATTAGAGTGCTTTCTCCCCATGTTATGCCTGCATATAAATTCAAATTTTATTTCAATAATTATTTAAATAATTAATTCTGAAATGTGTGCCTTAAAAGTTACAATTTAAATTGCACTACCTTTATTTTTGTTTGCATCAGTGTATGTATATCCTGGAGAACTACCAGTCTTACGCCCAAAAAGACCCCAGAGGTTTGGGCCAACCATATGCTTTCCATCTTTTTCAATTGTGTGGCATACAGCACACTTTTGAACAAAAATTTTCTTTCCTTTCTCTGGATCACCCATTTAGACTCTAAAATGAAAAAAAGAGAAAACATTAGGGATTGTACATGAACTAATGAAACTTGCTGTCAAATCTGAAAATGAATAGATTCAAAATATACTACAAATCATGAGTAAAATTATACATATTAATGAGATTTTATTGTTCATCTCCTATGTTTGAAAATGATACTTAGATTTGCCTGACATACCATAATATAAGTCAGTGGGGCTAATTTTTCCCTGCCCAATGTTTCATGCACACTTATTTCCCAGAAAGAAGAAAAAAGACTACCGGACATTACATTCTGCCCATACACCACTTATGTTCTAGAAGAATTCCCAGTTAGCCAGGGAAAATAAATGGGAAAGGAACATTAGATTTTAGTCTTACTTAAAACAAGTAGAAGTAACTTCAACAATCTGGTCTTCACATTCAAATAATTTTCCTAACTCTGGTTATAACTCACGTGATAATGTGGCACATAATAATTGTGCTCTCAATCGCTGAGCTATGCTTAAAATCAACTGTAAAAGGACAAGGAATATTTTTCATGTGGATTAGAAAATCAACTTTCGGGAAAGAGATACATTTCTGCCTCCAGCTTTGTCCAGGGAGCCAATGGAGTTATCAGTTATTTCACTAAGTCTTTACTGTGTCTTATGCAAATAGATGTTTGATTTATTGTTTGGACAAAGCAAGAAGATAAATGTGCAACGAAAGGCTTGAAGTTCTTTAAATGGCAATTGATTTCACAGAGGTGCACTGTAGGTTAACAGTAAAAAGATTTATTGAATCAACAGTCTGCTTCTTTAGGACCATCCACACAAGGTACTGCAAGAAAGCACAGATTACATTCATTCAGCACGCACTCATTTTATGCTGTCATCAGGCACCAGAATTTGCTGATATGTGTGAATTCAAGAATTAACCCTAAGTGACCAGAGACAAGCATTGCTGCCTTGGCTTCTAGCCTTTCTGTGGTATACCGACACAACATAGGTACATTGAAATGCACAACTCCACCAGATCTGCCAAATACACTGTTGGAATGCTAGAACAGTAATCTAGATGCATTGACACGTCCGGGGCATTAAATACAGATTTCCAGGCCTGGAAACACAATATTCAAGCACAATAGATTAGATTGCCTGCTTAAGTACAATGCTAATCAAAAGTGAGGCATGAAAAGACCCGTTCTGAGGAAGGGTCACCGGACCCGAAACGTTAACTCTGATTTTTTCTTCACAGATGCTGCCAGACCTGCTGAGCTTTTCCAGCAATGTCTGTTTTTGTTCATGAAAAGAAGCACACTTCTCATACTGTTACTCCACATGTATTTCTGGAGTGACATTGTTACCATTGCCTTGAGCTGCTCTCAGCTATGACCATAAGAACATAAAATAGTAATACCTGTTATTTAGAACCTTCCCATTACTGGAGAGGAAATGGCATTCTGCAGTGAGGTAAAGCCTTTCAAAAGGTTAAAGGGGCAAGTTTTTTTGTGTAACGCAGTTTATTTAAAAAGGTTTGTAAATGATAAAATTTGGAAATGTTATAAACAGAATACTGTAAAATCAAACTCAGGATGACAGGGACAGACTGGTAAAATGGACAGATACATTGAAGATGAAACGATACAAAGTATGAAGTACAGCATTTTGAAAGGAGGAATAAGAAACAATGTGGACCAAGCTAATACAATTTTAAAGCAGATGCAGGAACAAAAAAAAATTGGCCATTCACATTAACAAATATTTGAAGTTGGCTTGACAAATTGTGTATGTTGTTAAAAAAGCATAAGAGCTCCATGACTTTATAGTCAAAGACAATATCAAAGCAAGCAGGTTATACTAAACCTTTGTAAATCACTGATTCGTCCCCAGCAAGAGTATTGGTGACAATTTTACATTCCATCATACTCATAACTTATGCCTTGTTAATGACAGACATGCTCTGGCAAGGCAGGAGGTGAGTTACTCACCTCAGAATACCTAGCCTCTGACCTGCCTTTGCAGCCACAGTGCTTTTATGACTGGTCCAGTTCAGTTTCTGATCAGTGGTAACAGACAGTGTATCACAAGAATCAGTACTGAGGCCACAGCTGTTCATAATTTAGATAAATAACTTTGACGTGAGAACCAAATGCAATATTTCAGATTTGCTGATGACACAAAACTAGTTGGGAATAGAAAATAGGAGGACATTGCAACTAGAGTTCAAGAGATCTAGGACAGGCTGTAATTGGGCGAGAACGTGGCAGATGGAATTATAGTGAGCTGCATTTTACCAGAAATTGGCTTGGTGTCAATTTCAGGAGGTTTGTTCTAATACATTATCTTAGATAATTCTCTGCAGTTCACGTTATTACCATGTGTACCGTGCCTCAGCAAATCCCAGCCATGCACCAGGTCAAGTGCTGCCAGCCAGTATATATATATCCAGTATGTTCTGAAGAAAAGTCATATTAGACTTGAAATATTAACTCTGTTTCTCTCTCCTTAGATGCTACTTGACCTGCTGAGTTTCTCTAGTACTTCCCACGTTTGTTACAGTTTGTTTCTTATTTGAAATACCCTTACACTTGTGTGCTTTTTTGGAACAAGATGCTGAATGGAGGGTGCAATGCAAGTCAAGCTGCACCAGAGGTATTACATGATGGGCTACCTGTATCTGTATCTGCATCTACAGAACTGTCAGAGTAAAGCATGGCATTTGCAATATGCAACTTACACCGAGCCTGAGACTGAGTTTTGTCACATGTTACAGAACGGCCTGCAGCTGAACTCATCCTCGGCATAGGTAATGTTCTGAAGATTATACATTATTGACCACCAAAAGAGCATGACATGATTATGAAATCAGATGACAGCATTCCTGAAGGCTCAGGAAGTTGCATATCATACTCACTGTGGTCTTACCCTCTGTATTATATGATGCCACAAGCTTAGTAAGTTAGAACTGACATTCAACTCACTTGCATGTTATGGAAGCCACTGTTACAAATAACTTGATTTGAGACCACGCAGTCATCAATATTTAACTTGCACTTGCAAGTGCCAGGATAGTTTTTGCATGGTCGAGGATGATCTGATGCCAAAACTCAAGAACACACAGTGAAACCAAGAATCCAGTTGAAAACAAGCATAGCAAGATGCTTGTATCCAGTTCAACAACTATCAAACACATTTTAAATGCAGGTGTGATGCTCCAGTTTCATTTATGGATTTGGAAGTAACTTGCTGTTTGGCTTTTCAGTATTTCAATGATCATAATAGCGTATTATATACCATACAACTTTCACCTCAAAACAGGCTCTGGAGAAGGTTGCTGTCTGTCCCAACAAGGGTATCACCAAGGCAAGAGGGAAAAGCCTGCAGGGTGTGTGTGACAATCTGATGCTGTAACCATTGCAGAAACCTTTCAATAATTTCTCTACAAACATGCTTGCATTTTGTCCACTATTAAAAATGAATACAGTGCTCCAACCTTATATCTTTAAGTCAATTCATAATTACTCCATTCCAATCTTTTGGTTTCACATGAGCTTTTGGAGAAACATTGCACACAACCTTTGTACAACCATATCTTAATTTAAAACTATTCACTGTGAACAAGTGCCTACTTCTTTTTATGGTATTTCTGCTTGATGACCATATGCAAGATAAAGGCTCCTGTCCTTGTATTTGTCTGTTTGTTTCCTGTGTGGCTGGATTATGTAAGATGGCCAGATCATTTTGGAATTCAGATCGGCATTATCCACCAGGAGCTGAATTTGAAATAGACTTTGCTACTTTCATGACTGTGTTGGTGTGTTTTCTGATACCGGATTAAGAACAGTTGAATGTTTCATTGTCTAAAGCATCTCTGCCATCTGTTCTAGTCATGTTGTGTTATTGATCATTGCCTCACCATGGCTACTGATTGACATGAGAGCTGAACTAATGATAAAAATAAATAGTGAGCTAATGATAAATGGCTCTATCCTGTGATCCTTAAGCCTGTTAATAACTCTTTGGAAATCAGCTCTTACGATATCCAGATCAGACTCATGAACTGATGAACTGACACAAATTGGTCCTCCATGGGTTTGATGTTCTTCCTCAAAAAGCAGTGGCTGGTCTTGCTCATCTGTGCTTTGGCTGATCAGGTGGGACTTGAATCCTACCCCAATGGTAGAGACAATATGACTGCACCACAAAAGCCAGATCACTGTATATAATGGCCATTTGGAGGAGCTATTCAATTAGTCGCATTCCCATGCTCTTTCCTTTTAAATTATATTGAACTTCCTTTGACAATTACTGTTGTGTGTGTGTATATACATCCACCTATAATGAAGATGCAATGACATAGCTCTGTATGAGACTTGAACACAGATCTTCTGATGCACAGGCAGGGATACTACCACCATGCCACAAAACCCAATGCAGTGTTTAATTTAATTTTCATTCACTCATGTTACTTGGGCATCGCTGGCTGAGCCACCATTTATTACCCATCTCCAGCTTGCCCTTGAAGGTGGTGGTGAGCTATCTTCACAAACTGCTGCAGTCCATGTGCTGCAGGTAGTCCGACAATGCTGTTAGAGACAGAATTCCAGGATTTTGACTCAGTGACAGTGAAGGAATGGTGATATATTTCCAACACAGGATGGTGAGTTGTGTTCCCATGTATCTGCTGCCCATCTGCGAGAAGAAATTGGTGATAGGTTTGGAAGATGCTGAGGATCTTTGGTGAATTTCTCCAGTCCATCTTGTAGATAGTAGCAGCAGTGTGTACTGAGCATCAATGGAGGAGTGAGTCAGTGTTTGTGGATGTGGTGCCAATCAGGTTGGCTGCTTTGACCTGGGTGACATCAATTTTCTTGAGTATTATTGGAACTGCACTCATCCAGGCAAATGGGAAGTATTCCACTGCACTCCCAACTTGTGCCTAGTAGATGATGGACAACTCTAGCAAGTTGGAGAGGAGTTACTCACTGCAGGATTCCTAGCCTTTGACATGCTCTGGTAGCCACTGTATTCATA